GGGGGGGGGGGGGGCGACGGGACTCGCAAATAAACATTTCAAATCTTGAAAACAAAACAGGAAAAATATTGGACGCCGACAACACTACGCCACCATCGACATCAACAGCGGCGCACAACGAGCTGCCTAGGACGGCACTGGTGCGGTCGTCGTAACCGCACCAGCTCACCACGCTCCCCGCCCTCCAGCACCGCTCACAGCCGACAACGGCAGCAGCAGCAACAACAACGACAATGACTAAGCATCATAGACGCCAGCAGCGATGCCTACCGAGCCGGGCTAGGACAGAACGCTGTGGGTAGCGGTGATCGGAGCCGAACCAGCTCACAACGCTCCCCGAGCTCCAAAACCCCCAAGACAGCGCCATCAACGCACCATCATCACAGCAACGAGGTACAAGTGGACACGTAAGAATGTTATCTTCGCTAGGGTTGTACAAGTAGTGCCAACTGCACCCCGAAAAACAGACACCAAATCCACGAAAACCCACGCGCAAAAAAACACCCACCCACCCACCCACGGGCGGACGTACGCACGCTCACCAACCCACCGGTTGAGGACAGTCCCGTAGTCGCTGTCGTAATCGAAGCGGTTGACCAGACGCTCGTCCCGCACGGTCTGCGGCGTGTTGGTCCCCCACACGATGCCCTGGTGCAGGTCGGTCAGCCTGAGCCCGTCGTTCTTGGCGTAGAACTGGAACAGCAGCGCGTCCAAGCACCTGCCGTGTGGCGAGTGGGGGGGGGGGGGGGNGGGGGGGGGGGGGGGGGGGGGGGGGGGGGGGGGGGGGGGGGGGCGTACTCTTATCTCTTATGTTTTCCATGCCAAAGCGTAAGATCATTGACCACGACGCGTCCTCAAGCGGACGGAGCATTGCTCCCACAGGACCGATCGATCACTGATGGCCAATCGTTCCTTCCTACTGACGAGGGGGGGGGGGGGNGGGGGGGGGGGGGGGGGGGGGGGGGGGGGGGGGGGGGGGGGGGGGGGGGGGGGGCTCATGTAAACATATGCCGTAGTCGTTGTAGATCATAGACCTCTAATCACGGGACATGCCGGTTTCGCCGGCCTAGGCTACGGTCCACAAGGATGAACCAGAAGCTGGCCATCCATGCGCCGAACCAGATATGCCATGGGTTGGTTGGGCATTCCGGCATGTTTCACATTCGGTTTGAGAGCGTCCATCACAACCAGTCAGCGTTTGGCGACGAGCTCGCTGTAGCAGCAAAAAGGAGTCATGGGGGTGGTCATGGGCGAGGGTCGATGCTGATCCCATCGTTCTCCAATTATCCGAAGCGCCGAAGACAAATAGCAGGATGAAGAACAAAGTCACCTCTAGGAGACGTACTTTAAGATGTGTCGCATGAGCACATTCAGGGGGGGGGGGGCACACAGATGGCGACTCATCTGTGGCACACCGCCATGTTTGGCTTCCCAAGGGTACGCCACGGACGTGTGAAAAACAGCCTTGACTTGTCCGGCAGCAGTCACGTGCGCGTGATTGCAAAAATATGTATATCTGCACGTCGGTGTGGTCAAGCAACTTCTAGTCCGAACGTACCTCCGCAACCCAAAAAAACACTTGCGGACGAATACCGTTTACGAACAGCTTCGTCGTTCTTGCACTATATGTACATTACGCTGCTCGCGAACGCCACCCAAGTTTTTCCAAGCCCCACACAACCTCCTCAAGGACCAACACCATTTCGATAAGGTGTATATATATACTTTGTACCTCCAACGGGCAGCAGCGAGCGCTAAGACGCCGACGTCAAGGTATCCCACGAACGATAGCACGCAGAAGCCCTCGAGACACGAGAGAATGAGAGACATCTCCTCTTCCGCTAAAAAAACCTCTCGGTTATTCTCCCTGCAGCTGTGTGAGCTACCCTACATACCCTACCTGCACATCACTCTCCCTCCCTCTCCCTCTCTCTCCCCCTCTCTCTCACTTGGTGGTGTGATAAACCGACCCCGGGTACGCCGGGTGCAAGATCTTCTGCTGACGGTTGCCCGGCAAGGTCACGTCAATGTACCCCTCCGGAATCTCGCCCCCGCTGTTGCCGTACCCGTACACCCTGGAAGGCATTTTGATCGCAACAAGGGGACAGTGTGCGGGGGGGGGGGGGGGGGGGGGG